TGTGTGTGTGTGTGTGTGTGTGCGGTGTGTGTGCGTGTGTGTGTGTGTGTGTGTGTGTGTGTGTGTGTGTGTGTGTGTGTGTGTGTGTGTGTGTGTGTGTGTGTGTGTGTGTGTGTGTGTGTGTTTTTCCCCGCGCGCACGCGGACACCCTCTGCGCCCCTCGGCACCCTCTGGCGGCAGGAGGGCTACCTCTCCATCTCGCCGAACCGTTGGTCGCCCACGGACCTCTCCAAGGAGACCCAGGCAGGCCCTTTTGACCGCCCCGGCCGCGCCGCGGGGCGCCGCAGGGCGCGGCCCAGGCAGCGCCGGGAGGGGCCACCCGGGAGCAGAACGTCGGGGGGGGGGGGTCCTCGAAGACGCGGGGTTCTCGGAGGCTGTCCTAAGGTTTCGGAGGTTTTCGACACCCAGGGGGGTCCCATCAGCCGCGCCTCGTCGAGAGCCTTCTGGGGGCTCGCCCCTCTCGGCTGCCCGACAGCCGAGCTATGGCCCGAAAGACGCCAGGGGCAACGTTAGGGGGGGACGGGCTCGGAAGGGGACGCATCGACCCCCAATCGTCCATGGATCGCCGACGAGGGCCCGACAGCCCACCCTGCCCAGGATCGTGCGGATTTGCTGCCAGGGGCATGCCGCCGATCTATCGGCGATGCCTCGCCGGGAGGAGGAGGAGGAGAAGGAGGAGGAGGAGGAGGAGGAGGAGGAGGAGGAGGGGGATGATGAGGAGGAGGAGGAGGAGAGAGGGAGGAGGAGGAGGAGGAGGAGAGGAGGAGGAGGAGGGGGAGGAGGAGGAGGGAGGAGGAGGAGGAGGAGGAGGAGGAGGAGGAGGAGGAGGAGGAGGAGGAGGAGGAGGACCATGTTCCCTTCCCCTCCCTCCGAGCCGGTCCCCCCCGAACTTTCCCCCTCGGGCAACCGCCAGGGAGGGCACCTCCCCTTGGAGATCGAGGAGCGGGGAGGAGGGGGGAATATCGAAGGCGAGAGGAGTTTCTCCCAGCGTTCAGGGCGTTCCTGGCAGTCCTGGGGGGGGCTCTGGGGGGTGCAGGGAGGCCCGCTTCTCGGAGGGGGGGCTCCTTCCTTATTAGTGGCCTCTCTTGACACTGGCTGGGTGACCGGCGTCGTCTCCGTTGTCCGTCGTCCGTCGGTCGCCCGTCGCCGCAGCGCTCGGGGCCAAGATTGGTTTGACGATGAGAGCGCTTTCAGATGATCGGCTCAGAAGGCTTCGGCTGCAACTCATGGGAGGTGCAATCCAGCATCGGCGCGGAATACCCGTGGTCGAAATTCGGCATGTTCCCATTCATTCCCGCTTAAGTAATCCAGCGCAGTCAGGCTGGATCCTGGACTCAATCCGATTCAACGACCTTTTAATCGATCGGGCTTGCGATCCCCTACTCGTCCTTACGAAAACCTCCCAGAAGTTGCCTCTAAAGAAGACGTGCCCCGACGCGTTGGTTTCGTTGGTGGTGGGCTCGGGCTCAGACGACGGGGGCCACAGTTCCGCGGCACGGCAAGCAAGTGGCAATCGGACTGGTCGCAGCTTTCGCAGAAGAACCCGGGGAGCCTGGCCCAGTTGTGGGACGGGCGCCTGTGGTATTGCTAAGGCCTCGGGCTGCGCAGAGACAGCCCCCCTTCCCTTGGCATCGCTCGGACGCGTGCATGCTTCCCTCGGCGAGGACCATCGAGGAGCATCCTTGATCATTGGGCGAAAAAACCACGCACGAAACCTAAAAAAAAACCGACGGAATGGACGTCCGAGCGATGGCGAGCCTCCCCGGCAGTCCCGGTTGGCCTCCGCAGGCCTCCCGAGCAGGCCGAGCTGGCACGAGCAGGCCCCCCCCCGAGCGGCCCAGGGCGGTCTCGGCACGCCCACCCCGAGGCGCGGCGCGGAGCGCCCCAGGGGGGCGCCGCCGGAGGCGGCGCCGGGCTGCCTCTGAGCAGCCCGAGGCCCCACCGGGTGTCATCGGTCTCGAGGGCACCTTGCCTTCGGGGCGGGCGACGACCTCGGGGATCACCACCCACCAAACCACCCGGACCCAACCCGAAGGCTTCAATTTGCCCTCCACTTCCAGTGGGGGGGGGTCGGGGAACATTGAAGAGGCGCACATGGAGCCCGTACCCCCCCCAACCCGAAATTGGGGTCTTCGGGTAAGGTTGGGGTGGTCTGGTAGGTAGTCAGCCTCTGTGCAGCCCGAGGCCTCACCAGGTGTCATCGGCCTCGAGGGCACCTTGCCTTCGGGGCGGGCGACGACCTCGGGGAGGTGCTCCTCTCACACATCCGACAGGGGCAAGCAGTTGAGAGGGCTTATCAGCGATGAGGGGGATACAGCAAAGGGGGTACAGCATAGGGGGGTCCAGCGCCGATTCAAGAGGTTCGCGCAGACCTCCCCCAGAGCAGCGGCAAGATGCCCTAGTATATGATGGTAGCCATCTCCTGGCCTTTTGGAAGCCTCCATGTGGAGTACCCTCGCTATGCGCTGGCACAGGTGACCATCATCCGCTCGGAGCGCATCGGCGGCTGGAAGGCGCGCGCGTCCCTCGCGTTACTGCACTGGGGGGGGGGCGGAGGGCAGACAGATCTAAATGGAGTTCCTGGGAGTATTGTCGTCTGGCGCGAACATGTTGGGGATGTTCTGGGAAGATACCCTGAGATCCTGGCGCTGCACTTGTCACTGGGCATTTTCCTCCAGTTTCGGGCCCCGGAACCATCATAGATCGATCCGGCTCGAAAAACGGCGCAGAAAGATGGGGTCTAGCGCTCGAGCCGTGATTTCTCGCGATGCCCCAATGTTTCACAATGGCGGAAATCAAGGCAGGTCAGTGTCCTCTTCGGCCTTGGGCATGGTTTGGGCTGTTCCTCTGTACAAGCGCAGATGCAGCCAAGGATGTTGGGTCACGGCGGCTGGCGATCTGCGCCAGGTGCAGCCCTACTTCTGCGCTCAGAAATATCTCTGACAAGTCCTTCTCAGGGCCTGCCCCTGAGAGTACGCACATCAAATATATGCTGTATGTCACGCTGTGTTTCCACCTAAGTGCGACGCAGGCTACCAGCTAATCACGCGAAGCGTACGGGTTTCGAAAGCAGCCTCAAGTGTTCGAACACGTTTGGGTATTGTCAAGACGCTGACATACGGACCAGCTCGGAATCTGGAGGGACCTGCTGTTCCTTATTGGAACGTCCACGGTTGTTCCTTTAGCTTTCTTCGTGCACCCAGGCGCATTTGGGGCCACAGAGGAGCGTCGCCCCTTGTCTAGCTTGCCTTGCGGTAGCAGCTTGACTGTTGGGAGACAGCGATAGAGGAGCCCCCCTCTCACTTCCCCGTGGGCTCGCCGCCAAGAAAGAGACGAATCCTTTGCGCAACCTGCATCGAGTTCTGGACATCGCGGGGCACGTCTGCTTGCCGCAGCTGCCGTCGGGCAGAGTCTGCCCTGCTTCGACCCTGCCGTGGGCAGCCGCTGCGTAAGTGGAGCGGAGCGTGCTCCGTTCGGCGGCAGAGGGTACTGTCCCGAGCGGCAGGAGGGGGGGAGCGGGAGGAGGAGGAGGACGGAGGGAGGGAAGGAGTGAAGGGGCTTGGCATCGCTCGGACGTGTGCATGTTTCCTGCGGCGAGGACCATCGAGGAGCATCCTTGATCATTGGGCGAAAGAACCACGCACGAGGCCGAGAAAAGCACAGGGAATGGACGTCCGAGCGATGGCCGGGGGGCGGAAGGCGGGAGAGGCGGGGGGCAGGGAGGGCAGGGGGGGGGGGGCTGGTGAGGAGGCTGGGGGGAGGGCAGGGACGGGGCAGAGATGGACGGAGAGAGAGAGAGAGAGAGAGGGAGAGCCGGCGAGGGGGGGGGCGGAAGAGGAAGTAGGAGGAGGAGGAGGAGGAGGAGGAGGAGGAGGAGGAGGAGGAGAGGAGAAGGAGGAGGAGGAGGAGGAGGAGGAGGAGAAGAGGAGGAGGAGGGTGGTGAGCCTTCAAGGAGGAGGAGGAGGCTGGGGCGGCGGTCGCCTGCAGACTCCGCCGAGGAGAGCCTGCGCCGAGGGGGGCGGGCCGAGGGGAGGCCAGGCGCTCCAGGCGCGGGGCGGGCGTGCGCGTCGGCGCGGAGGCCTGGCCCTCCGCGTACCCGAAGTGCAAGGCGTCCGTCGCCCAGGCTCGCGGCGGGCGGCCGCTCGGGGGGGCCAAGGGGAGGAACCGGACGATGGTGTTGATGATGGTGCTGCTGATGTTGTTGTTGATGGTGATGATGATGGTGATGTTGATGTTGATGCTGCTTTTGATGGTGGTGATGATGATGTTGCTGGCGATGGTGATGATGATGGTGATTGTGATGGTAATGGTGATGGTGATGATGGTGATGGTGATGGTGATGGTGATGTTGCTGATGATGACGATGGTGATGGTGATGGTGATGCTGATGATTTGGGTGGTGTTGATGGTGATGATGATGGTGATGATGATATTGATGATGGGTGATGCTTCTGATTCTAGTGCTGATGTTGATGATGGTACTGTTGATGTTCATCATGGAGAGGCAGGACAATAATGACGAGAGAGAGAGGGACAGAAAGAGAGGGAGACAAAGAGAGAGAGAGAGAGCGAGAGAGGAGGGGGGATCTACTTGCATGCGCGTAACATCGATACGCCCCGTTGCCACCCTCAAGTGTGCATAGCTCAAACGGTAGTGGTAGTGGAGCTTGTAGTGCCTTTCAAAGGCCAGGGCTCCGCGCGACAGGGGCAGCTCACACGGTACTTGAGGCGACTCGGTGGACGGCGACACATGTTTGTTGTATGGAGAAACAGGTTTCCGGTTGAGGTCGTTGTTGACCCGAGCGACTTATCAGATACATGCACGGCAGACACCACCGCCATACGACGCAATGAGAGGTGTATTGTAAATTGCGCGGGGGGGGGATCACTGACATTGCGGCGATCACTAAAGTTCAAGCCAATGAACAAGGAGCCAGGTTGCGAAATGATGGTGTGGATGGCGCCTCTTTTCTGGATGGGGGCGGCGTTGTCATGACTTCCCCGTTCACAGCGTGACAACTCTTCACCGGTGTGCAGCATGTAGCGTTCCACCGTAGGGCGCAGTTGCGCAAAGCCCGTCGTAGCGAGTCGCACTCGCAGTTGCAGCTCTCATTTCGGAAATGCGTTCGGAGTCTGATCTGTTCGGTAGAAAATCGATTCAGTTGCGACGGCTGAGCAGTGGCTTGAAGGAATTCTTCGAACAGCTCGTGATCCTGCAGAAGTTGATATCAGTTATACGCAGAGTGAAGGATGGAATCGCACGATGACCACCAGCGCAAGAAACGCATGGAGGCATTCCTCTGCTCCACTTCATGCTTGTCTCTTGTATTTACATACATACATATGAACTGATCCAATACTACAGTGCCATCGCCACGGGATGGTCTACGAACGCGGCTTCGACAGCGCTCGTTCGCCCAGAAGGCCAAGTCGGAGAGGAGGGGTGGAGCGCTCCTCAGGAAAGATCTCCTTTGGTTACGATATCCCCACCTGCTTTCGCGCCTTGCATGGCGCCACCTCGCCAGCATGCTTGTAGTCTCGATATTTCCCCGCGTGTTACTTTGGAGTGTGGCCTTCCCCCTCTGACGCAGGCCCCCTCTCTATTATCAGTGAAAGCGCCGAAGCTATGCGGGGATGCCTGGGCGCCGTCTTGAAGCAACGTCGGAACTTTATGCGAGGACGTCTGGGAATCATTGATGTCGCGAGCGCTTGCGTTTTTACTCGTAAGCGACGAACGAACTTATGCCTGGCCATGCACGTGTTCAAACTCGGTTTACCACCATCAAGCACGAAGTGAGTTGGAGGATTGCGTGACGCGATAATTGTTTGCCTGCTCGCTCGGAAGCGACAAGCACGGATTTGTGCCGTCACGAAACTGTCCAATACATGTTGCGCGTGTTATCTTAAGAACAACGTGCGAGCCCGCAAGGCAGGAGTCAGTGCGGGCTCCCCAGAGGGGAAGACCTGCACGACAAATGCGAAAAGGCGAAGTGCAGAGAAGCATTACATCTTGGAGGATGGTTGTTTCTTGGTGGCCTGATTGGGGGTCCCCGTGGTCAAGTGGAGCCGCCTCGAAGCTTCATGTTGGCGTCGTGAAGACATCTGTGCGCATCTTGGAGACGTCTGGGGGCGTCTGGAGCCAACTTTCTCAGGCACCAGGAGACCAGGAAACAGATAAACCAGGACACGGAAAGCCAAGGAAACGACAGCTATTCCTGCAAAGTCAGACTCTCCAGTACCCGTGCCGTTTTTGATATTTTTTGTTTGCTGCGCTGCAGGATTCGGGTTGGTGTCCGGGTTTGGGGGCGTCTTGCAGGCTTTGGGGGCCCGTGTTCGGGTTTATTTGGAACATGCTGCAGTGCAGCATTTTGTTCGTGCCGCCGTCTGGAGAAATTGGTTTCGAGGGATGTTGGGTGTCCAGGTCGAGCGTGTCCACGTTGGCGGGGCCCTGACTTTCACCACCCCCCAGACCACCCCAACCCAGCCCGAAGGCCCCAATCTTCCCTCCATTCCTCGTGGGGGGGCGTCGGGGAACATTGAAAAAGACAAGTAGAATCCGTACACTGGAGACCCATGCCAAGAAACACCCTGCTTGCCTCCAGGGTGCCTTGGGTTTCTTGGGTTTCGATTGTTTTGCTGTGGAGCGCGTGACGTTCCCACACCAAAAACAATGGTCGCCCTGGGGTTTCAGGGTTGGGTTTTTTGTGGAAGGTTTCTTGTGGTCGGGCCCCTACTGTACCCCGCCCAACCCGAGATTATTTGGGTTGGGCTGGGGTGGTCTGGCAGGTAGTCAGACTTTGCGCGCGGCGTGGGATGGTCCTGAGCCGCCTTAGAGCCATCTTGAGCAACAGGGGGCAGCCGAGGAGCCGCGTCGTGAAGACATCTAGGCGCACCTTGGAGACGTCTGGGGGTGTCTGGAGCCAACTTTGGGGACAGCTGGGCTCGCCCTGAGCCGCCCTGGAGCTATCTCGAGCAACATACTTGGCCGCCAAGGAGCTGTGAAGAGCGGTGGGGCGCCGCCGGGTCTCGCGCTCGGCGCTGCCCTGAATTGTTTCTGGAGTTTCCAAATTTGTTCCCCCCTAGGTTGCAAGGAGTCTTCCAGTCTGCCTAGCTTGTTGAGGCCTAGTGTTGCATGACGCCCCGTGCCCAAATCTATGGGGAAGACCATATCAGTGGAGCCAATGATGCAGATTCCAGCTCGTGAAGCAATCATGTACCACAACATCTGAGTTTCGGCGCTCCCGCGCCCCCGCCGAGCTCTTCGAGGGCCGCACCCCGGGGCGTACATCGGCGCTTGCCCTTGTCCTAGTTTGTTGGAGCCACCAGGCTTTCTTTTATGAGTTGCGATGGTTCGCGCTGCGCGCCAGGAAAACGCTCTGCCGATCCCATGAATGGACGCCGGTGACACCGCGCAAGGGCATCCCAGACAGGGTCCACTCCCAAGTCAGACGGCACTGCCAGCCCGCGCTGCCCGCGAACGCTGCCCAGGGCCCGCAGTGGGCCCTCCACGGGGGGAAATCCGCCCGCGCGACATTGAATCTTGCCGTGGCGACGCTGCGGTCTCTTGTGGGATCGCGCAGCATGCAGAGTGGGCGTTCAGTGAGTGTTGGAGGGGACGGATTGGACGAGGATCGGTACCAGTGGAGGGGCCTGCCCTCGGGAGCCAGACCTGGTGCAATTTGCAAGAGATCCGAGCCGGAGCGCGAATCTGGCGTGATTTACCACGGATTCGAGCCTCAGGATCGCGAATCTGGTGCAATCTACCAGGGACTGTTCTCGGTAGTGCGAATTCGCGGTCATTCACCATGCTCTCGCGAACGTGAATCTGGCGTAGCTCACGACGGATTACTGGTTTGGGGACGCGACTCTCATGAATTTGTACTTGTCACAGACCCGCCAAAAATTCAGGCAACGCGAATCGGGTGTGATAACTGGCCGGTTTTTGGCTCGTCCACCTCGCGCGGACATGAAGAATTGGTAATAGGAAACAGAAAATAGAGCTATATCATTGGAGGCTGGAAGCTGGAACTGGAGCAGTTGGCAGGAAACCTCATCCACCCAGCCTGATGGCCCAACAAGGGGACCGGCGAATATTTACCCCCCCTCCTCATTCCCATCCCTCTCCCCCCCCTCCCGGTCCGTCGACACTGCCACCCCGTCCCCCATCCCTTAGTGGGCCCCGGAAACGGCAGGGCCGTTTTTTCACCGTTTCCGAAAAATGTCCATTGAAAATGGAAACGGCAAAAAAACGGCGACCGGAAACGGCAAAAAACGGCTCCAGGAGTGGAACCGGAGCCGGAACCGGTCAAACAACGGCGACGGAACAGGTAAAAAACGGCGTCGGAACCGGCCAAAAAACAGCAAAACAGAACCGGTAAAAAAACGGCCTTGTCGTTTCCAGGGCCCACTAAGCCCCATCCATCGTTTCCCACCTCGTCGCGGGACGAGCAAGAGGAGAACGACACCGACGCAGCGATGCAGGCGGGTAGCTGCACGTTGCAGAGGGCGGGAGGGTGCAGCGGGGAAAGGAGGGGGGGGCACACCAATGATGTCACACGCGTGTGCCGCGGTGTATTTCTCTTCTTGCGGATTCGCTGACATGCACCTCTCGCTCTTCTTTTTGTTTGTTCTCCCTCTCTCTCTCTTTCTCTCTTTCTCTATCTCTCTTTTTCTCTGTCGTGGAATGGGCAACAGCTGCGGCGCAGGTCATGAGCACGGCCGTCTCGGAGGGCAAGCTAGAAGGCTTCGACGCGCGCGCACGGAAGCATGTGCGTGCCGTCATTCCGCCATGTCTTATCCGTCCATTTCTTCGATCTCAGCGTGGCAAGCACCAGGCGCGCAGTAATGCCACAGTTCGCTTGCGAGGTATGTGCGCGTGAAGGGCAGTGTGTGGTTAGATGCATGAGTTGCCCATGCACATCATGGCACCGACGATCGGATGTACAAGTTTCTTTCGGCCTAACGCAACGTACCGCTGGGATTATGCGGGCCCGTCGGTACTCTCAAAGTCGCCGTGGCTTTATCGCGGGTGGCGGGAGAGAAGGAGGAGGGAAGAGCAGGATGAAGAGCAGCAGTAAAGGCAGCAAGGGAAGGCAAGGGGCTGATTCGCAAGAAGGAGCGCTCATGCCGAACCAGGCGGATGGGGACGCCGCGAGGGAGGTAAGGGAGGAAAGGAGCGGGGAAGAGGAGGGCAGAGGGAAAGGGAGAGAGAGCGGGGGACGCGGGCAGCGGGGGCAGGGATCAGGGAGGTACACCATGGGGCAGCAGGAAGGCTAAGAAAGGTGCAGCAGGACCTGGACACGGAGGAGGACGAGGAAGGGGGGGGGCGACATGAGCCAAGCCTCCCGAGCGCGCACCAGCCCAGCCAGCGACCAGCGTCTGGCTCCCTCCTGGTCTGGCCTGGCCTGGCGTGTTCTGGCCTCGCCTGGTGCGGTCTCGCCTCGTTTGGTCGCGTGCCCTGAGCTCCTGACGACGCCCCGAGGGGGCCACACACACACACACACACACACACACACACCGGCCGCCCCATATTGGGATCGGCATCGGTTGTCATCCTACGTTGTCGTCGGTCCGACATCACCATCGGGAAAACACGCCGACCGCCCCGTATTACCATCCCCCGTCGTGGGCAAACGCCGCTCGCCGAAGGCCCCGCGCCAGCCAGCGTGGCGAGGCTGACCCACGTTGGGGAGGTAGCCTCCCACGCTTATCCATGAGCGTGGAGTATGGTCTGATCCGATCTGGTCAGGTGTTGTTTACATTGTGCTAGTCGTAAAGTTCGGCGGCGAGCCTATGGGGGATTGCAGAGGGACCGGCTTCTCGGAAAGCCTCGCACTTTTGAGAAGACGCTTGTGGTTCCGGAGAAAGCGTACAAGGCTTCTCAGAAGACGCCGGCGCCTTCTGACAAGGACTGCTCCCTCTCACTTCCCCCCCGGGCGCCTCGGTATGCACGGACCCCGTGTTGGCACCAATTGGTTGCGTTGAGCATGTTGTCAAGGGGAAAAAGTCTGCCATCGAGAGAAGTGCGGTCACTAAGATGGCTTCTCCTCGTCGTCCTCCATGTCCTCCTATGGTGACCAGATAATTCCAAGAAGCGCCCAGGAGGATCGCGGCGCCGCGCTGGGAAGTCGACGAAGGCTCGGGGAACTATGGTTTGAATCGCCCCCCCTACCTTTAAGCCGGGTCTGTCCCTCTTCAGGTGGAATATTCGGAAATATTTAAAAAATAGTATGCGGACGATTTTTTACCATATTTGGACATGCCCGACCTAACCCTACCTCCCCATCGCCCCACCCCAAACCCGTCGCTCGGGCATAAGCCGCGGGGACCGTCGTGCACAGATGAAAATGTATTCAAAGTATTGGTATGTCCATGTGTTTAAACTGGTTCGGATGGCATCGCTTGTTTCTGGGTCAGGAGATGATCCTTGCCATTTCGTTGAGTTGAGTGTTATTGTTGGCTCGTGCAGGTCTGTTGGTTAAGTATTGTATGCTCTCAGCCGTGGTCATCAGCAGTGTGTGCGAACATGGTTCTGCGCTCGGGAGAACATACGCCGGGAGAACAAGATAGTATTAATCAGTATAGTTTTCTTTGGGGGAAATCAGCTCAATGTCGAATCGCCACACCCACATATTGTCGTTGATCGCTTGGTCGTGTTATTCCTTGGCCTTCCCCATCGAATTCATCATGCTTCTCTTTGTGTTCATGTGTCATTATTCCTCCAGCCCCTTCTCCTCGCTAGCGGCTTCCTCATCTCACCTGCGTGTCCGCATTTAGCAGACGACAGAGTCGCAGGCACCTTCCTGCGACGGCATTATTTTACCCGGTCTGGCCTGGCATTGTTTGCTTCGGTCCTGCCCGTTCCTGCGGTCTAGGACATCTGGTCGGCACCTGCACGCGGTGTACCTAGCCTGGCCTAGCATGTTACGATGTTGGGACATCTTGCATGAGCGGGGGGGAGGAGACGCCACGCCATGAGCAGAATGGTGTTGCACACCTCGAGTGGTCCCAAGATCCCTGGAGGCCTCTTTGGGGCTATCGCATGCGTCTTGGGGCCTCCTCTGCCGTCTGATGGTCCTCGTCTACAGTCCTGGAGGCTGGATTGGGAGGCGGAGACCTCTTGGAGGCTTCTGGGGAGCGTTTCAAGAGCCTGTCAGGTTGGTGCCTCTATCCTTCGCCATCGCGAGCCCTCTTGGGAGCCTCTGTGGCCGCCTTAGGGCCCTCTCGGAGGGTCTTGCAGGCATCTTTGGATTGTCTGGACGGCCTCAGCCGCAGCTAGGGGCTTGCGGCTTCTTGGGCCATTTCGGAAGCCTCCTTGGGGGTGACCTGGAAGGCATCTTGCGGGCCTTTTGGACGCATCTTCGGGGACCTCTCTGGCTGTCTTGGGGCTGCCTCGGGGCTGTGTCGAGCCTTCTGGACCCTCTCGGGGGCCTCCTGGTGCTTTCACTTGGACCATGCTGGGGCTCTCTTGGGCCGTCTTGGGGCGCTCTTGGGCCGTCTGGCGCCACCGGAGGCGGGGCCCTGGCTGGGCCGGCTTGGGGACCTCTAGGGGCCCTTGAGGACCGTCTTCTGGACGCCCGGAATGGGTACGGAAAGAATGGGTACGATGCCCAACAGCAGTTCCTGTTCATTTTGAACAGGATTCGCTGTCCACGCCGCCGCGGCCTGTGTCCATTCGAGACAGACGGCCGCCTGCCCAACAGCGGCCGCTGTTGGTTTGGGACGACATTTGTTGTTGGGCATTGTACCCATTCTTTCAGTACCCATTTCGGGCGCCCAAACGTATTTGGATTCCGCAATCCTGTGCCGATGTAGCCCTCCCAAGCTGTGAACATCGCAGACATGTTGCTGCTTGGTGGTGGGCCCTGAGAACGCCCTCGCACGCGGGACAGCTTACGAACATCTGACACGGAGAGGACTCCTTGAATTCCAGCAGTGCCTGCACCGTCCTGCGTTCTAGCTGCTGAGATGATTTGTGCTCGCTTGGCCAGCAAGTATCGCCGACCCTATCCATGTAGCGATCACCGGTTCCACCTTTGCACCGAGACTGGCCCGGAGTCGGTCCCCGAACAGCTCAATGGCCGCCGTCCTTCCCCAGGGTCGGGGAGCGGAGGGATGAGGACCCGCAAAGGGACGGGAGCGGAGAGGCGTGTGTCGTCGTCGTTGCCGTCTCCATTGTCGGAGAGTCTGCGCGCTCTCGGACCACGGTCGGGCACTGTGGGATAGCGTGTCGCTCCGCTGGTTCAGGCACGCCACGCCTCGTCGCGGCACGCGATCCACTTCGCGGCCCTCGACCCCCAAGCGTCCAACTGCCGAGCTTTCCCGAGCCTCCCGCCCCGCGGAGAGGCGGATGGGCCCATCTTCCACCGCCATTGCCACAGGTAGAAGCGGGAGGAGGAGGAGGAGGAGGAGACGGAGGAGGAGGAGCAGGACCTCCTCATCCTCCCTTCTCCCCTGTCCTACATATGGTAGTGGTGGTGGAAAGGTTGCCCATCATGGACCCCTCCCGAGGTCCATCCGACTCGGTGTTTCACCCCAGACCGTGTTTCGGAGGTCCTTGGGGCCCGAAGACGGCCCCTAGAGGCCGACACCATGAAAAAAACCGCCTCGAAGTTCGAACCTCGAAGTTCGAGCCTCGAGGTGCCCCCCCTCGCTCGCCGTCGAATATTACAGCGGGAACGCGCAACAAGCAGCCAGGCGCTTGTCGCCGGGGCACTCTGGGTGTCTTCGATGCGCGCGCTGCGCCGAGGCCTTCCGCGGGCGCCAAGAGGCTGCCGCGTTCGGGGTGTTGTTACGGAGGCCCCCAGGAAGCTTTCTGGAAGGGGTCGGGGGCGGCCCTCCTTCTCCTCCCTCCGCCCTCCTCCTCCTCCTCCTCCTCCTCCTCCTCCTCCTCCACAATGGGCTCCTCCTCCTCCTACGTCCTCCTCCTCCTCCTCCTCCTCCTCCTCCAGCCCCCACGGCCCAGATCGTGACCCACAGAGGGGGCGACTCGCGCTGCCAGGCATGTCCTTGCACCTGCCTCGACACGCCCCCACATCAGGCGGCGTGTGCCTCGGGCGGCCATGGTACTAGTTAGATGCTGCATGTGGAATCCGTTGTCGATGCGACAGGCTGGCAGATGGCGTGATGTTCGGAAGCAACTACGTAGCTGTCAGGCAATTGCTCTTGCTGGCACACAGTGTGGTACAGAATTGCCGTGTGTCCAGGATCGTCTGGGGAAGTATCATCGGTTTCAGTGGGGCAGAAGTTCTGGGTCTGCAGGTCGTCCGACGGGGTGCTCATTCTTGATCAGAGACTGCCTCTTTGATGGGAAGCAGATTCGCAGGGTCTGGCACTATGAAGGAGAGTTGGCAGGTCGACTGGGGGCAGTGAGATGTAAGTCAGCATCAAGCGACATTACGTTTATTGTTGCGTATGCGCCAGTGGAGCCTCCTGGGGGTGCGGGACGAGCTGCTGCTATTCGAGGGTGCGAGAAGTTCTGGAGTAGACTTAACTCATTGCTGGACGAGCTACCGAGTCGAACTGTTCCCCTGTTGATGCTAGATGCGAATGCTCGTGTGGGAAGTGTGGTAAGTGAGAGTCTGGGATCATGTGAAGTGGACAATGAGAACATGAATGGTCTGTACTTTCGGGAAACGCTAGAGGCCCATTACTTGTGTGCTGTGAATACGTATTATGTGTGTGGGCCCACGTTCTATCATGGGAATGGTACTAGCACGGCGAGGGTGGACTATATATGAACG